CACAGACCATCGATTCAGCAATTTTGGTTTTAAAACCCCTCTTTCTCGAGCAAGCCAAAAACACAAAGTTAGGATTGTATTTGCAACTACAACCCATTAGATTCAACTACAATTACTGAACAAAATCACTTTTAAACAACGAATAGACAATCAATTAGCAATACCCAACAGTTAATGCAACCCATAATCACACCCCAATAATTGGGGTTTTAGCTAGACATAGTAAAAAGATAGGAATCGATACTGAAATGTGTTTCCATCAATTGGGTATGATTAATATGGTCTTTACAAATGTCTAAGATGAAGAATCTTCAATACCCACTTTCAATTTCTTTGAAATAAGAATCTTCAAAGCTAAGGAAAATTGTCTCCAAAAACCAAGCTCTAAAACTGAATAGCTCTAAAAAATGGTTTCTGAATTGTAAAACTGATACTAAACTAAAAATTTAAACAAGTATTTATAGTTGTCAAAAAGTGTGCTGCGAAGGACCGTTCGACGCAATAATTCGGGATCGCCAATAAATTCGACGATCCACCCTTTGGTCATTCCTATCGCCTTTTCGCTTTGGCCTTCAGCACTTCAAGCTCTGTAACTTTGGGCGATAAGGCACTGCATCAAGGAATCGTTTGGCGACTCGCCGACTACTCCATTCTATCGCCGACTTGATTTTCTCCTTCAGGACTTGGCACACTGGAACATTGGGCGAGATCAAGACCGTTCGGCGACTTGCCCAATGGGTTAGGCGATCCTCATGCCTTCTTTTCTTCGTTCTTTCAGCTGCTTTGTTCCTTTTTTATCTTTAGTGTTCATGCTTCGTGCCTAAATCCAAATACCTGAAACTCAAGGATTTACATCAGTTATTGGCACAAAATATGCATTTGAGGACACTAAATCTATTAAAATCAAGCCCTAAATGAGTCCAAATCGTAGACTCATCAAAGACACTGATTTAGAAGGCACTTTGTTCAATATGTAAGTTGCAGTCAATAATGCATCTCCCCAGAAAGAGATAGACAAATTTGCTTGCGCCATCATTGATCTTGTCATGTCTAATACTCCCTCCGTTTTAAAAAGAATGACCTCATTTCCTCTTTAGTCTGTTTAAAAAAGAATGACCTCTTTCTTTTTTTGGCAACATTTTAATTTCAACTTTCCATGTGGCATCTTTATTTTAGTCTGTTTCAAAAAGAATGACCTCTTTCTTTTTTTGGCAACATTTTAATTTCAACTTTCCATGTGGCATCTTTAAGACCACAAGATTAAAGGACAATTTTGTACATTTGACATAACTTTAATTTAGGACCACAAGATTCAAAAGTCTTCTTTATTATCTTAAACTCCGTGCCAAGTCAAACTAGGTCATTCTTTGTGAAACGGAGGGAGTAATGTTCTATTCCTTCTTTCAGCTACACCATTTTGTTGAGGTGTATAAGGAGTGATTGACTGTCTGAATATACCCTTTTCAATACATAATTTTTCAAACTATTTGACAAATATTCATGTCCTCAGTCGGTTCTTAAAGTCTTTATGCTTTTATCTAATTAATTTTCAACTTCATTCATATATCTTTTAAAGCACTCAAGTGCTTTAGATTTATGAGAAATCAAATAGACATAACCAAAACGTGTGAAATTATCAATAAATGTAATGAAATATGTAGCACCAGACCTTGCCCTCACATTCAATGGACCACAAATATGAGAATGAATCAATTGAAGTGGGAACTCAGCTCTCTTAGCCTTCCCAAATAGTTTACGCATAATCTTTCTAGTAAGACAATTTTCACAAGTTGGCATATCTTGGTGAAAGAACCTAAATGTCCTTCTTTTGCCAACCTATTCATTCTATCTTGTCCTATGTGTCCTAATCTTGCATGTCATGTAATAACATCAATATCATTGTTACTTGAATAACATGTCATTACACAATGGTCAGCATAATAGCCATAAGTTGAAGAATTACAATCTAAAATGATAAAACAGTCATAACGAAGTCCAAAACAATATAAAATACTATCTAGAGTTATTTTAACACAATTACAACTAAAAAGTAAATCAAAACCAATATATAAAAGAACAGACACAAATACTAAGTTTCGTCGAATCTCTGAAGCATATAGGATGTCATGCAACATCAATGAACGACCACCACGCAAGTCCACTTTGCAAGTGCCTATCCCTTTGACTTCTCATTTCACATTATTTCCCACATAAATCCACCTTGATTTAGATGAAAATCAATGAAACTCCACAGACGCTTCTCGATCTCGACTCATGTGGTCGGTTGATCCTGAGTCTACAATCCACATATGATAAGATTAAGTTAGTAAAAAAGTGCTAGAAACATATGTAGTACTAGATGCGTTTAGAAATGCTACCTTATATGACTCAATACACTCACAAGTAAAATGCCCCAACACTTGGCAATTGTAGCACTTCATTTTGCTCTTGTTTCTCTTCTTAAAAAACCATTTTCCTTTATTGGAATTTGACTTCTTCTTTTTCTTAGAGGGTCTTTATCCAGTCTCTTTGTCTTTCCCATTCATTTTCCAATTTTTCTTGTTTTTGTACCACTTGACTCTGCCATAAAGGCATTAGAAGTAGCTTTAGCAGCACCAAGGTGCTCATCTTCAAGTTCAACATGACGTGCAACATCAGAAAAAGTTTTGATGCTATCATTATGGGTCAAGTTAACCCTCAAATGTTTTTAATTACTGGGAAGAGATCGAATCACTGCCTGGACTTGTTGCTCATCTGAAAGAACATGACCAACACTATTGAGTTGAACTATCATGTTTGACATCACCCTAAGGTGTTATTTGATATTCTGATCATGACGCTTTTTGTAAGTGTCAAATTTGATAGTCAACTATCGGAGGCGAGTTACAGATGTACCCCCATATGTTCCTCGCAGTTGTTCCCACATATCATGAGCAGTAGGAAATTCCTCACATTCATGTATGAGGTCATCAACCATATAACTACCTATTATTCCACGTGCAATGGAATTAGTTTTTTTCCAAGCTTTGTAAGCTTCAAGATCCCGTTTGTGTTGTGCAGAATTACCCTCATCTGGTTGATTCAAAACATGATTTATACCTTCCATAATATTTTGCTCTTCCAGTACATACCATATTTTACGATTCCAGATGTCGTAATTGTCACCGTTAAAATTTTCACCTTTGTTTAAGTCAGCAATGATACTTTTTGATGCCATATTCATTATTGAGATATAATAAGACAATAATTTTAATCAATTATGCATGCGACCTACACATTTAAGCAAATCAATTCTCATAAAAATTTCATAGTTAATGTAAAATCGAAAAGACACGTAGGCATTCAATCATCATCTACAAATTAAATATTTAACCAAAATTCAAATCTAATTTCTTAACGTTTATAATTAATATATTGAAGACTTTCATAATAAGGATTTTTAAGTCTAATAACATAAATTGAGAAAAAATAGATTACATAATTCATATCTTGAAAAATAAATAAACAATAACAAATTACAAGTAATTCAAAGACTAAAATCCTCTCACAAGTCTTCAAAACAACAAATATACACCCTAAAAGGTTGTCTGAGCCAAATGTCATGATAAACATCGGTCAATCTACTACCCCAAGGTTCACAAAGAGCGTCTGTTAAATAAGCTAAGCCTCTCCAAACTGAAATTTCCTAATAATCAGCCAGTTCAACCTAATTTATTTAAAAAGGTGAATAAAATCACGTGCTGAAATATTAGGGGACATCTTCAAAGATTTAAACTCTTTAAATTTTTTCTCTTTTCCCTTCGAATGGCCATTTGATTCCTTGATAGATTTTGTGTCGCTCTTGGGACATCAATCTGTATTATTTCACGCCCTCAGAAATATGTCTTACGGCAACTTGCTCTTCTACCTTGTCTCTTTGCTTGACTTTGAGAAATCCCACTTGGAGTAATTTGAGCAAATTTTCGTTCAGTCATAACTGAAATGGAAACAAAATGAAAATATGGTTAATACCATTTAATGGGACAACGTATGTCACAAATTTCTCGTAGGAGACAAGGAATTGTTTAAGGAACATAAGGGCTAAGCGAATTTATCAAGACCAATTTTAATACACATAGTTAAAATCATAATATCGTCAAAAGCAATTGTTCAACTTTCTTTATAAAATAAAGAAGATAATATAAAGTCTATATCCCAAAAGATTTTGACTAGATCCCAAAAAAATAATAAAAATTATTACATAAATTTCACATGCTTTGAATAAGAAACCTTCTTATTGTTTAATTCCTATCCATTGTACAAATACACTATTTACTACCTTAAGTAAATAGGAATGTATGTCACATCAGATGACAAACGAATATTTTTAAATGACTATAAATATCTAGCAAAAAAGAAGGCAACTAATGTTTTTCTTAAAAAAAATAAGCCTTCCAAAGTATTATAATAAATACATGTGTACCAGTCTCCTTATTCTAAAAGCACATTGTATTTAATGTTTTTTTTTAACTTTTTATTTGACCTCTTCCAATAAAGAAAGTACAAAAACTAAAAAAAATTGTTCAAGATCATTTAAAATCTATAACACTCCTTTTCCTTTACAACTCTTATCTTATTCAACTTTTCATCTTATATTTAGATTTAAAAGAACTTCAAAAGAACAAACTGAAGAAAAAAATGTTTCATCCACGACAGAGAAAAAAAACTTTATTCTCTATCAAAAACAAAAAAAAAAAACTGATCATCTTTGATTGTTTTCCCAACAAAAAAAAAACAAACACTTCATCATCAGAACACTAAGTTGAAGAATCGAAGGTTTGTTCTTAGATTTACAATCAAATCATTTTTCTTCTTCTAACAGATGAGTTCGAATTAACCATAGTTTCAAAAAAAATATACTGAACTTCATATAAATATTCTTGACACAAGATATTTTTATAACACACAATCAATTAGTAAATAATTTCAATGAATACTACATAATCATTGAATAATTAACGATGACTCTGATACCAATGAAAGAATTTAAACAACATTTGGTACAAGATTTGTGTACCTTTAATTGTTGTAGCAAAATAAAATTCACGAACTGAATGATTTGCTCCAAATTCTTCTTTGAATCACTAGGAAACAAAGATAGTGTGTCACAAACTAAATATTCTTTATGTTGTGTGTCTTTAATCTAAGAAGATTTTCTTATTCTCTTTTGAGTTTTTGTTGTTCTTCTTTCTTTTTCTGTTAAGAGTTTAAAGCATCTATTTAAAATAAGGATTTGTTTACGTTGGAACAGTTATATTAACTGTTCCCTCCCTTATTTTAAATTAATACTTATCCCTTTTATAGACAACAAGTTCGGGTCGGGTCGGTCCACATGGACGATCCACGACCCAAAACTTATAGAATTTTTAAAAAGAGAAGAATAGAAAACAGGAAAAAGTCGTAGTTTAAAAATGTGAGAAACAAATCATTTAAAATTTTAAAAGAGTAGTATTAGCATGTGCTTATTGTGCCTTATCATAAAAATCACAATTCTTCTAAAAGGTCACAACTCATCAAAAAAGTCACAATTCTTTGAAAAAATCATAAGCATTTAATGTGAAGAGGCCCTCTTTTAATATAATATAAATAAATAAATAAATATAATATAAAGTATAGAAGATATACTAAATTGAGTGTTTTAAGAAGAAGAACAATAGAAAACTTTAAAAAATTGTAGTTTTAAAATATGAGGAAACCCCTCTTTTTATAGTCAACAAAGGGTAGTGCATGAAAAAATATGTTTATTTTGCCTTATCAATAATGTGTGTGAGATTGTAACTATTCGTATTGATTTTACTCTTACAAAATGGAACACTTTTTGAGATACTAAAAATTCTACTATATTATAAAAGAGAGTTTAGGCTCAAATATAATATATAATATTCAAGAATGAGACTTTTCCCAATCTTCAATATTATATATTATACTTGTGGGACTTTTTAAAAGGAAGTTTCTTTAATATTATATATTATATTTATTATATAGTAGAACTTAGGCATAAACTCCCTTTTAAAATAATATAGAATATATATATATATATATATATATCTCACATATGGAAAAGTCCCAATCAC